AAATCAGGACGTAAGCAAAACCAGCCCTTTTGGCACATCGGCTGGGACCGTATGCTGAATGTTGGGGAGGGGATGGTGTCCCCGACGGTGGACGGACAACTTCAACGCGGTCCTTAGAACCGCCACAATTTGGCGCTTACCTTAGAACTAAGCCTTAAAGAGAGGACGGGTCCGTCCCCTCTCCTAGGCTTAGTCCAAGGGTGAGCAGACCGGTCCTTCTGCGAAGCTACTGGACCAGCTGCACCACTTGCGTCAGTACTCTCCTATCGTACCAACCGAGTTGAAGTAAACCGTCGACCGTTGGGGACCCCATCCCCTCCCCAACATTCAGCATACGGTCCCAGCCGATGTGCCAAAAGGGCTGGTTTGCTTACGTCCGAAAATCGGCGTCGACGAAGAATCGTCGCGCGGGATTACGACAAAGACGAGGAGAGAGTCAGCGGGCGCAGTCGCAGCGTCGCGTACTGTAGTGATTTCGCGTCAAGTTAAATAGAATGTACCATTGTACGTCCTACATCGCACAGCACGCGCTGCGACTCGTCCGCTGACTCTGCCTTCTTGCCGCGCGACGGGCCTCCTGTCGGGTACCCCAAAAAGCTCATATGAATTCTCTCCAGCAAGGCTTGTTCACAACAGGAGCTCTTTTCTAGAAACGGCTTCTCGCGGTTGTAGATGCGCACACGCATGGAACAAAAAATGGAACATGGAACAATGAGCACAACTGCGTCTGACTGAGCAGTCCTGGTAGAAGACCAAAAGAAGTAAAAACTTATTTTTAGGACATGCAGCTCTTAAACTTATATCTGTTGTATAGCACTTGTGTTTCCATGCTCTGATACTTACCAAGAGGTTTTTAGATTTGTAAAACACAGAGAAGCTCCAAAAGTTTTATTCCAAAAGAATTCCAAAAGTTCACAAGAAGTCCAAATACTCCAAAAAACAGCCAAAAATTTAAAAGAATTCCTTTGGAAACTTCCGCGATATTTCGGTGTATAACACCTTCTTCAGGCATGGAGTTGCCTCAGCCAAGGATGAAGCTACCCTTACGGGAGCCGCGCCGATAGTGGAACTGAATCGAGGATGACATGAGGCTCCGGGACAGCACAATACTAAGGGAAACAAGAGGTTTTTGTTCATACAAAAGTTTTCGTCATATGGGGACACATGAAAATGTACGACCGGGAAAT